ACAGAACTCCTTATCTTTCCCCCCCAAACCTTCCCTTCTTCCTAGTCTCCTCAATTACTGTCAAGGGTACCACCATCCTCCCATCTCCCAGGCTCACCATCCTTATCTTTTTACCAGCCATCCAATAAATTGTCAAATCTTCTGCTTTCTACCTTCATCCCATCTTTCCAAGTTCCCTTCTCTGCAGCCACACTGGCTCTACCCTAGTTCAGGCCCTCATTGCTTCTCACCTGGACTACTACAATAGCATCCTACCTTGTCTTCCTGCCTTAAGTCTTTCTCCTCTCCAGTCCATCCTCCACTCAGCTGTTACAATGATTTTCTTACCATTCTACTCAATAAATTCCAGCGGCTCCCAGGTAGCTCCGGGATTGCTCTGCCCTTTCACATCTGCCTCAGCTCAAACCTCACAATCTGTAGGAGGCCTCTCTTGGTTTTCCCAGCTGCTGGTGCCTCCCCCTCTAATACTACACATCTAATCTTGTATATATTGTAGATACACCTCGTTATTTACATGTTTTATCTCCCATCAGAATATAAGCTCTTTGAGGGCAGGGACTGTGTTAGCCTTTTATTCCCAGAGCTTAACAGAGTGCCTGGTACATAGTAAAAGCTTAATTAATGCACTTCTTGTCTGACCACAACACATTCAATGTATAAACAAGAGATCTTCAAATAAAGAGAGTACACTGTATGCACCCACAAACAATGGAACTCTCTTTAGAAATCAGCATCTCATACCTCATTTTAACAAAATCTGCTCCATATAATGTACATTCTACATTATATACCACATTCTATCTCATATCCATCACATGCCATATAAAATCCATTTTACGTGTATCCTGGGTTTTAGCCTGTAGCATTTCGCTTAAGAATTTCAACTGTTTGTTAGAAAGAATAACGCTTGGGATCTGTGCACCTAGGAGAGCAGCTGAGTCAGTCTGAGAGCCTTGGAGAGGAAAGATATTCTTCATTTTTGCCTCAAGAAATTCTGGAATTCTATGTGCCTCTCTTTCAAAGGAGGAAACACAACTATCTCTCTTCGCCAAAGCTTTTTGCACCAACTCCGTCCCTCATGAGACCACACGGGGTTGTGTCACTGTTATCTCTACGTTAGCAGAGTCTTATACAAAATGCTCCAGGGTTACATATACAGAGTACTCTAAAAGTCTAAGTGCTGTTTTAAGCTACTGAAGACTTTTGGGATACACCATACAATATTAAGTTTAAAATGAAAAAAAGATGTAATAACAATCAGAAATACAAACCTTTTACCTAAAACAAAAGTCTGTTCCAAATCCTGATGTCAAGAATAGGCATAAACTGGAAGAATGACCACCTTTAAACATAAGGGGCAATGTGGTATAGGTAGGAAGGGTGCTTCTTGGGCAAGGCACTCAAACTTTCAGACCTCAGTTTCCTTGTCTGTTAAATAACCTCTGAGGCCTGTTCCAGCTCTAAATTTTATGTTACTATGTGCTGTCACCTACTTGTTATTTGACCACAGGTCACTTAACCTCCCTGAGTCTCAGTTTATCCATCTCTAAAATAAAGAGATTAAACCAGATGATTGCTAGGGCTCCTTCTAGCTCTGCTGATCTATCATTCTCAGACAGAAAGAGTTGAAGTTCATTCAGACAAATCTAAAGCTTAAAAATCAGAAGTATGACATTTATGCAAGGTTATCCCTAAGGGATGAACAACTGGTAACAAACTGGAGTCAACTCTTGATTATTCAATCATTATTCAGGTGTGAACTACGTGGGACCCGAGCCTCTTCCCCAGTCTTCTGCCCTTTTCCACTTTTATTAAAAACTCTACCAAAGGGAGGAGGACAAGGTAGGAGTTAAACCTCTCCACTCTCCTCATTGTTAGCCCCTATGTTGCAGAAGAGAGGTGAAGGGATGACCACACAAAAATTTTCATTTTCCACCTAACTCTGATCCTTGGAGAGCACAAATAAATGAAAAGCACCAACTTCAAAGTGCTGTCTAAGTCTGCTTTTCACATGTTTAGATACAAGTAGTCTTCAAAAGATGGCAGTCTAAAGGTGTACTCTTAAGTTGGCTACTGGGATTTTAAAAGTCATTTTCCCAGAGAAATGATATTAAAAATGATGGAACCAGTCTATAAAATTAAATTTAATCCCTTCCGTAGAGTCATATTGCCTACTGTGACATGCAGGTTGCAAGACAGCACACTGAATTAGTATATATACACATGCTAATATAGAATAGATGCTAATATGTACATATACATGTCTGTCTGTCTCTCTCTGGAAGGTAAAGCAACGATATGGGCCTAGAAATGACTAAGAGGGGAAGACTGAGTTGGACAACATTTGGTAAGACATTCAGTGTATCAAAGATGTTGGGTTGGTCTCTGATACAAAAACTCATCTTTTGGACATTGATATTTTCCTGCAAATCACGGTGCAAATCATGGAACACTTTGACCTTTAAAGAATCAAAATTGCAGGAGACCTAAACGGTAATGCAGCCCTGGGTCAGAGGGTTATAAGCAGCTAGGAGCTTGGGATGCTTTCTGCCAAGGATGACATGTTGCAGAAGTGGCACAGGAAGCATCAATCATGACACATATGACTAGAAAATTATGTGGGTTTGGCATGTAATGAGAGTGAAGGATAAAAGACCCCCTTGAGTGTTGCACAGTCATTCACAGAATGCTGAAAGCCCCAGAGGAAGCCCCCCCGGCATGGTGTGCAGGCCAACAACTGCAGAGGATGGAGGCACAGATGACCTGTGGTTTGTACTGGGGAGTGAGGACCCATACCAATGGATTCATCAATCTAGGGGAGTAAGTATCTGAAGCATGGTAGTTCTCTGAATAGCTAACTATCATTGATTGCAGTGTTCCTTCAGAACAAGGTGCTCAAAGCGGTAATCTAGGTTGCCAGGGACACATCATCTTCCCTATGGCAGGCCTGGCAGTGCTGACTCCCCTCTTCACATCTTCCATTCAGTGGGAACAGGTTTCTCCATTAGAAAGGTTCAAGTATAGCCTCTGATGCTTAAGTCAGAAGATTCAGGGGCTATGAGTGCTTGTGCTGAGATATGAGGGCGAGGGCCTGAGGATGGGCCTCCAAGGCTCAAGGAAGGAGTGGGACAGGGTCCGAGAGGCAGTCAGGTGCCAGAATGAGGCTATGGAAGCAGGGTGGTAGTGAGGCACTGCATTGAGAAGGGGGTTATTTCCCTCAAACCATAAAGAAGCCATTTCCTCTTTTTTTTTCTTACCCTCCTTCCTCCTCTATCCCATGGATACTCACCTTCCTTTCCCTTTTGCTGAGCTGAGGAAAGTTCTGAGATGGATTTTCCCTCCTCTATTACTAACAGCTGTAGGTATTAAGGTATGCCAAGAAGAGGTGATTAGGTTGGGGACAGGAGAGGGCTTTCCCTCTGTTCATTAGATGAGGAGAAAGGGAGGGATGTGGGGTTGGGAGGGAGGTGTCCCAAGTAGCGGTAGCGTCAGTGAGGCACAGTGGACAGGACTGAACCTGATGTGAATATCAGGAGTGGTTGTTGTTCAGTCATTTTAGTTGTGTCTGACTCTTTATGACCCTCTTTGGAGTTTTCTTAGCAGAGATACTGGAGTGATTTGCCATTTCCTTCTCCAGCTCATTTTACAGATGAGGAAACTGAGGCAAACAGGGTTAAGTGACTTGTCCAGGGTCACACAGCTAGTAAGTGTCTGAGGTCAGATTTGAACTCCAGATGAGTCACTCTAACCACCATGCCACCTAGCTGTATTTAAATTCTGCCTTTTATATTTAATAGTTGTGTGATCAAAAGCAAGTCACTTAACTTCTCAGTCTTATTTTTCTCATCTATAAAATGGGAATAACAGTATTTATACTAGCTACCTCACAGAATTATTGAGGAAAGCACTCTATAGGAGTTATTATTATTGTTGTTGTTGTTGAGGAAGGAACTTCCATTGACAGTAGGAAAAAAAGGGAAAAAAAGGGAGTTCATATCTGGGGTGAACATTTGTAAGTAAAGCACCCAACAAAAGCAGCCATTTCTATGTGTAGGACGGCTTGACTTGAGTTTCCCTTTCACAGTATGCTCAACTAAGATCAAGTGATTGTACTATGTGAGTTAACTGCATTATAAGCATCTGAAGTTAATGAAGGAAAAAAGCAATAAACATTTGTATTTATACTTTTGAGATGTGTTTTATCTCCCTGGACTCAAAAACAGCTTAGAATTAATTAGAAGGGGGCTTGTAATTCACCCCCTCCCCCACTTGCCTCCATTTCAAAGATATTATGAGGAAATCTAAAGTGATTTTGAAATATTTATATAATTTATAGCTCCATGAGAGGTGCTGATGGTGAGTTATCTTTTGAATAACTTCTTAACTAAACTCTTTTTGAAGAATGTAAATGCCTTCTTTCTCTTAGAAAGCACTGACAAGTTAGTATAATGCTCTTTATTTTCCATTGTATCACCATTAGTCACTGCATTATGGTGGTTTGTCACAGAATGTTTTAATTCTTTGATAAAAACTGTAATACAAAGGCCTACATTTTACTATTTATTTCAAAAGCAGGAAGGAAAGTCTTTTGAAATAGAAGTACATACTGTTACAGCACACGGATGCTTAAACTTAGCCCACACTAATTTAAGACTGTCATAGCACACCTGGGCAAGAGAAAGAGCTCCTTAATCTATGCAGCCCCACAAAGTGAAGCGTGAAAATACCAGGTGAATTAGACTTCTTCAAGTGAAGAAACTAGCAGTCAATAGAAAGCCCACCCCAAAGTCAGATTGATCATCACTTGGGTGTGATGGAATGGAAGGGACCTTTTTGTTTGAAACAACAGCGCCACTTGGTGGCTGGACAGCAGCAGTGACTTGGGAGGCACTACAAATGGAAAATAAAGGAAAACAAAAATGGCGCTGGGATTTCTTGGCGAACACAATGATAATGCTGCAGGCAAACGGAGATGTACTATGTCACCATAGTAACTGTACCTTGGAGGTCAGTTAGAGTCTGGACAGGAACAGACACCTGAGCATCGCTTCCTGTAACTACATCTCCTAGATTTCATAAGAAAAAATAATTAGATTTCATAAAGAAAAGTAGCAGAATGAAATTTTCTCTCCCTCTAAAGAGTTGAAAGACTTTTTCATTTTATCCAACCCCTGAAAACACAGAACATAATTTGGAAAAATCAATGGAACAATTATTCTAAAAAAGAAAATAAATTAAAAAATAAAAGTGTTATTTGAGAAAGTTTTTCTTTTTTTTTAAAGAAAAATCTGTTAGCATCAGTCCAAAGGTAACATAACAAATCATTTTGCTAAGTGTACTTCATTATTTCTTTAGTTCTTTTAAAATGCTTCCCCCTTAAACAAACAAAAAAAAACCAAAGCTATTATCAAAGTTTTATATTAATTCTTTTAAAAAAAAAACTGAGTCAGCTAAAAATTACCTTCCTTTTATTTATATTTATTAATATTATTTATATTTATTAATAAGCAGGCATGCTTTTGAGAAAGAGAGTTCCCTTTCACATCACGAATCATTTATCTTTAAGTAGACTTAAGCGCTCTCAGGTACTAGACAAAAGTGTTTTTAAAACACATATCAAGTGTACATTTTTAGCTGCAAATTAAGTAATTAAAAGATCTGATGAGCTACCATACATATATGAGAAATGTCAATGTGCAAAAAGATAAAAGGGATGGCACCCTCTTAAAACCAAGGTTATTATTTTGGGTGAGACTTCCCTTACCTCTTCACCCTGTCATGCCCTTCTAAGAAAGAAACATTCAAGGCCAAGAAGGACAAGGGAACACAGGAGAAGAGCGGGGTGACTCAAAGGCACTAAGGAGTAAAGGGGGTCTTTCTCCTAGGAGCTTCCCTCCCCCGCTCCAAATCCTATGGAATATTCAGAACACAACCCAATCTAGAAAGGAGGGCCACTGAGCTTTCTGTTCCTGGTTGGTTACACAGTTGTTTTCTTGATGGCTAGCTCAACACTCAGCATAATCAGTTTAATATTAGCAGGTTGTTTTTCCCTATATAAAATGATACAAACTCTTATGTTGCTTCATGATTAACTGGTGCATAAAAAAAGCAGCGATGCCCAGTCCTTTAAACTGGCTTCACAAACACAAAAATACTACGTATGATTAACAGGTTCATTGGTTCCCCCTTTGGTATTTACACAATAGTGAAAAACTCATTTCTGAATTAAATGCCATCCCCTCGGTGCCCTGGGCACTTGCTTTAGCTATGATTTGCAACATGATCAGCTCATTTAGAATTTGCTGGGTTGTAATTACATTCCCACAGATCAATTAATAGCATCTCCTTTTATATTCCTCCCATAACTGAAATAAAGTAAAACATCTGCCTGACAGGAGTTTAGAAAATAACAAAAGCAAGGAGGAGTTTGTAGACTATAAAATAGTCATTAATTGACACATTAAAATCCCTCATTCCTCTTCCATAGTTGACTTTCCAGGATCCGCTTTCATCTGTTTCATCTGCTTCGTCAATACCTGCGGAGGCTTTTAGATTCCAGTCTTGCCATCTACAGCCTCCCGGCTACCCCTGGGTCACCTCCTCTTGCTGCCTTAGTATGTGGTCAGGGAATGTGAGCTCATTTTAATCTCATCCAGAGCCCCACGTAATCAGGGAGGCATATCTAAGTCAATCATGAATTAGTTTTGCATTATCCATAATACTGTTCTTCTATATCAGCATGAATAATCAAGAAGTGGAATATGTTATGAAAACCATATAAGCATTTTTATCTTTGTAAACAGCAATTTTTCAAAACTTGTGAATTTTCCAGCAGAGTACGCTAAAAAAGATATTACATTTTTCCCCCCTCAAAGGCACTGTGCATATGACTGATTACTGCTTCTACAGATAGCTCTGAGATAATTTGAAATCATGTCCCTAATACTAGGTCTCCTAACAGGCTGACTACTGTGCTGTTTATCAGACTAGCTGACACAGTTTCAGATTTATCAATGAGGAAATATAGTTGGGCATACTTAGGAGAAGCAGATGTGAGCATCCAGAAATTCTAGCAAAGAATTATGTTCTGCTCTAAAGGGTTTTATTTTAAAGAATTATAGAACTTTGTCGTTGGAAGGGCCCTGAAGGATCATTATAATTCAGCACCCTCATTTTACTGATGAGGAAACTGAGGCCCAGAGAGATTTACAGACCCATCTGAGGTAATAAAGCTAGGCGTGAAAGAGACGAGACCAGAAGCGGTGTTTCCTGGTTCCCAGTCTCATGCTCTTCCTTCCCCCTTTGATTTCTGATATATTTACTGCCAAGGCAACTCACCAAAGAAAGCTGTACCTACGTTCGAATTTTAAAAATATTGTTAAGTGTCCCTCCAGAGAAGAACGGTGCACAAAAACAGTGGGTGCTGTACAGAGTGAGGCCATCCCTATTCACAGAAGGAGAAATTGAGTGTAGCTGGCCCTGTGAGTGGCTAGCTATGTCACTGTGGGCAAGTCACTTTGCTCAAGGCCTCAGTTTCCCTCTATGTAAAATAAGAGGTCGGACTAGATAATCTCCATGATTCCTGGCAGCTCCAGCTGTGATTCTGTGAAAACATGAAGAGTTCCTAGAGACGACCGGTTTCTTTTAGTACAGGGATCGGTTACAAAACACCCTAGTGATCCTCGTGTTCCAAATACTTTGCTTAAGTGTTCTGCTGTCTCCTTACGATCGGGGATGGGTTTTCATCGATTGTTCCATCTCTTCGCCTCCCTCTCTCACTCAGTGGCATTAATACTTGACATCTCCTTAGAGACCCAACTTTATTCTGCTGGAGTCATTTGGCTTGGTTCCTCAGAAAATTTAAAATACAGTACTTAGAGACTCTCTGACTCATTTGCCTGCCATCAGTTAGAATTACTACTGACTATAGCTTGTTATCAAAGCAATATTGAAATTATATTTGTTCGGAACAATAAAACAGTACAATTAAGAAATATATAAAATAACATTCATTTCCATTCTGGAAGTGGGCATGTCTCCTGGCATTAAAATACATTTACAATATGCTAATGATTTTAAGTCCCCCTTTCTTTAAATCATGTGTGATGGCTCTGCATTAACAAGTAAGAATGTAATTTAAAGCAGTTATTCTTGTGCAAGGTAAACTGAATATTTTAATAAAAATTAAGATACTAATTATGTAATGACTAACACCTAACAGAAGCAAGATGTGAATAGAGCAAAGGCAGAGGAAAACTGGTATCAGGAAGGAATGCTCGTGTGTGTGTGTGTGTGTGTGTGTGTGTGCGCGTGTGTGTGCGCGTGCGTGTGTATGTGTGTGTGTAGGGCAACCTCTCATTTAGCCAGCATTCTGAGGGAAGAGAAGCACTGACATGAGTGGATTTTCTGGACACCCGACGCTTCTCTCTCTCGGCACAGGAGTATTAAAGACTTTGGCTGCCTGCCGCCTCCTCAGACCGAGTGCATCAAATGTTAGCTCTGTCTTGGTACCTCAGGGTCCTATTAATGACCATGATTCCCAGAGAGCCGCTTTTCGCATGGAGCCCCTGAATGACGTGGCTTCAGAAGGCTCAGTTTTTGGGCTCCTGTAGTCTCCCTGCCTCCTGCTTCATAAGAGAGCTCCCTACATTGCCAACCTTTGTCATCATCAGTGAACCTGCCTTCCTAAACTAGCTTCTTTCAACCGCTATGTAAGACAGGGAGGAAGGAAAGCACCATTATACCCATTTTATGGATGAAGTGTTGAGGCCAATCTTCCCTGGCCTGAAAAACCATTCAACTAAGCCTCCTGCAACTGGGCAAAAATGAAAAAGAAACAAGCTGGCCAGGAAAGACTCTCCTAGAAGCTCAGCTACACAGGCCTTTCTCATTTTTTTCAGGTTCTTGGTAGCGATCTCGATAGCCAGATCACTGGGTTGGTGAGCTCTGTTGGGTAAGTGAGATATTACTGCATCAGGTCTGTCTGAGCTTCATCACATCAAACTTCAGCCCATGCTAGAATGACCCACCCAGGCCGGCTCGGTTATTTCAGAATACCTCTGCTTCATGGCAGTGCCAGTGATCACAAGTTTAATACTGCCAAACAATTTCAGATTATAATGCAGACAGCATACTGTCTGAGGCTGCCTAAGCATCCAAAGGACGTACAGGTGAATTTAAATCTAAATATCTGAAAACCCATAAATTACTTTTTAATAGTGCTTTTGATTTAAAAAATAAAACAAATTGAATGGATTTTAGCTTAAAATTGGATTAAAACACTAAATTAAAAATGACTTTAAACTATTTATCCACTGAATGAGGTATTTCAGAACCACAGGTCTTTTTTTTTTTTTTTTTGGTAATAAAGAGGCTTAGGAAATTCCATCTTATGATAAAAGTTTTCATCTGCTTCACTAGCATTCTTTTCTGTACCTTTGCTGAGTTGAACTGGCATGCTCTCTGATTTCATCATTCTTTGCTGTTGCATCTGCTGTGGTGGGTGATGGTGCCGGGGAGCCTCTGCTGGGGTCCTGACGGTCATCACAGCAGGAGAGCTGCTACTGTTGCCACTGGGTACAGGGCCAACAGTACTGCCTGTGGTCATTGCTGGACCAATTAACTTTCTGCCAAAATTAAGGAGGCTATTGGAGACCTTGTTTATGTTCAGAGGGGCAGCTTTGGCATTAGCCCTGAAAAATAAGATACAGATGAAGTGGTCAGATATTACAAAAGCAAAAGGAAAATGACCTGCAACACTGGGCACAGTCCTCCCACCTCCATCCACTTGAGCAGTGGTCCAAATAATAGCATCACAGCAAAGACAGTCCCCAGAAGTCTAAACACAAGATATATGTATACAACATGCCTACAAAATAATGAGATTCTGTGTGTGGTTTAAGAAGAAGTGTTAATATTCTGCGGTTGAACTTTGTATAAAAATGTATGTATGTAAAAGATACATGCACACCTCTAGTCTACATTCATCATGAATTGCTCAGGAGTCAACAGAAGTTAGATTGATTAGCTTGAAGCCAGGAAATGGGCTTTTTCCCATCTTGGACTGTCCATCAGTGCCTAGCAAAGTACTTTTCACATCATAGGTAGGCAATCAATAAATATCTTCACTCAAATTGAGAATGAAAAAGGAGATCTCCTAATTTGTTGCTGGACATTTTCACTTCTCTTTAGTGCTAAGTTCATGGCAGTGACTTCTGGCAGAGCCACTAGGTTATCCATCATTTTGAGAGATCTGCCATAGTCTTGCAGTATCATAGTTGTAAGTAGAATCTATAGCACCTCCAGGAAGCCAATAATTTTTTGGCTGAATGCCTGATGTGAGCTTGTTTCCTACAATTCCCATTTCTCTTGGAGAAGCATACTACCAAAAGTAATTGGCTCTTTAAGGGATCCAATGTGTTGAATTCTAGTTAACTGAAATTTTCATCCTATTTTAGCAAGAACGCGCTCTGATACTTGAGGACCTACAATTTCATTAGTGTGACCAATTCTTCCATTTGTGTGCGTAAGAAGGCACTCCTTTTCTAAGCAGATAACCTTCATAAGTTGCTATAGCTGAGAAAAATCAGTGGCCACTTCAGTGACGAACTTCTCCAAACTTTGCTCCGCTGGTCCTTAGGTGACAGCCCTATCATCGGTCACCAGGCCCACACTAATTTGATAATACCTCCCAGAATATATATTCCAAAGGCAGAATGCTGAGTGTGGAGTAAGAAGACCCAAGACCTCTGGTACTTACGGTCCATTTCACCTCTATGGTCCTCAGTTTCCCCACCTGTAAAAGAAGGGGTTGAACAAGATGGCCCTTGAGGTCTATTCCAGATTCTTTGAATCTAAAAAGTGAAGGTCAGCTCCATGTCATGATGAAGCAATGGATTCAGGTTGGCAGGGCTTAGCTAGGGAAAGAAAGGAGCTATTTTGTGTCCTTTAAAAAAGATACCTAAAAATTAGGTTTCCTAAAAGAGATATGGGTAACCTAGTTTGTGATTTACTTGCATAATATATTTTCTATTAAAGTGCTGATGCCTATTGACTTGTCATGATATGGTGGAAATCCTAGGTCACTAGCAGAGCACGACTCTGGTAGGTTCTACCAAAGCTCCACATAGGGCCCTGTGCTAAACTATGTTTGTTTGCCATTTGAGGACCAGATAAGTGAGCTAGATTTGGAGAGGCCCATCATTACAGGGGTGATCTTTAAATGATGAATTGTTTCATCCACTGCAACTCACTGAAACAGTCTACTAAAATGTGACGGAATCGCAATCCTCTTAGGGGACAGGTGTACTCAACATGATGAAACGCTTTAATTTCTATGGAACCGTGGTCTCATCCTTGTGAGGATCCCATGCCCTCTAGTGGTCAACTTGACCATGATTTCTCATACTATCTGACTCTTACCCATGTTCTTTCAAAAACCCTTTCCAAGGCCTTGGGGCTTCTTTTAGAGATCCTGACACGGTGTGGACACCAGTGGTGCACGTGGGCTGTTCACCCTGCCTGTGTTCTTGCTGCATGACTGGCCCACATCTTCTTCCAGTTGCTTATTCCTCTCATAGCCTCTATATGACACTTCTCCTGTGCAATTCTTTGTGATATGTTGCGGTCTACTCTTGCCTACCACGTGTTCCTTCATTGCCTCCTAGCAATTTAATTCTTTGGAGGATGCTGTATTCCGGGCCTCACAGCCATGCTGAACCACTGGAATAACACCAATGTTATAAGACAGGCTTTTGTACAATAAAAAGTCACCTTAAATTTTAGGGCTTATAAGGTATATGGCAGAATCACGTGATTACATCCTCAAGAGATACAACAACAGAACAAAATTTGCTCAATGAGTTCCAAGTTATTAATATAAGTGAGGTGGCAAACAAGAAGATTTCCAGTTGTTCAGTCATTTTAGTTGCATCCGACTCTCCATGACCACATTTGGGGTTTTCTTGGCAGAGATACTGGAGTGGTTTGCCATTTCCTTCTCCAGCTCATTTTACAGATAAAGAAACTCAGGCAAACAGGATTAAGTGATGTGCCCAGGGTCACATAGTTAGTAAGTGTCTGAGGCTGGATTTAAACTTAGGGTCTTCCTGACTCCAGGTCTGGTGCTCTATCCATTGTGCCACCTAGATGCCCAATAAGAACAGACATGTTTGTTAAAGGTACTTTCTACTATAATGGAGGATATTCAATGAAGAGTTCAAATGGAAGAAGGGTTCTGTACTGATGGTGGAGTCTTAACAGAAGTTCCTATTTGCAGATGACAAAGTGCTGATTTCATCAAGACCTGGAGCACTGTAGAGTCTCCAAATGGGAACCATAAAGACCCAGAAGAATCCAACTTTATCCAGAGGAAAAACCAAATGGAACAACAAAGCCTATTGTTTAGACTCTAAAATGCACTGCATTTGGATCGGCAACCCACTGAGCTGGTCCACCAGCACAGACATGTTGGACAGAGGATGTAGTTGGACAATAAGCCCTACAGACCCAGAAATGAACAGGAAAAAGAGATCACTAATTGCTTTTGGGAAATTTTGCAGTGCTTCCTACTGATTCCAAACTTATACCTAAAATCAAGGTGTATCATTTTAATAATAAACTAATAATTAAAATCCAGTTAGCATTAACTATCCAGCACTAGTGCAGCAGAGTGGAACACCATCACACACAGAAATGACAACTCCCCAGAAGATCCTAGAAGAGCCCGAAGGAGCCACTCACCCCCACTCCTGTGTTCCATTTGTCAGACGACATCTTCATTTCTTCCAGTGAGTAATAAAGAGAGGTTCTACCATAACATGAAAGCACTTCCGGCTTATTTTACTTCTCAGCTTTAAAAGTCAAGATTCATAATTCACCAATATGAAGAAGTTATAATGTTGTTACCCTTTTTTATAAACAAAAATGTACTAGTCAAATTCCCATATTGCCAGCTGTAAAATTTATATGTTGATAAAAGTACTAAGAAACTGCTACAAGCGTTGTCAAGAGACTAGAGTTAATGTATCTTCATTACTACTAATAACACTTACTACAATTCACTAAAAACATATAGATCAAGCTCCCTCCTGCAGGCAGTTTTTCATTTGGACAGCAGCACTTAGGAAGGGAGGAGCACGGTTTTCCTATTTGGAACATTTGCTGTCGTTTGTGAACCACTTCCCCCTACTTTAACTATCCAATGTTTCAGCTTTTTTGGATTCTGAAGAACTTCATGGAATTTAAAAGCAACTTGATCTCATGAATTTTCAGGATGTAAGTAAAAACAATACGCTAATGTGGTCAGCATGCTGTCCATGCTTTTTATAGAAGAATTTTTATCCCAATGATTTAAGCAGAGCTGCTGAACCCATTAGCATCACATCAAGACTTCTTCACATTAAATGCATTAACTCATGTTTTCTAATTTAACTTGAGGCAAATCGACCTTTATTGTTGACAATGATTACATGAGATAATATTCTGCCAAGTCAGATCCTTAAATTAATGGAAATAAAGAGCAATCAGGGAGCCTGATGGACAGGAAGACTGGTCTGGATTAAGCGTGGAGTACAACAAGGAAATGAGTAGAAGAACCAAAACACTTCAAGCAGGAGGATTTGGGAATTTTCAGGACGCTGAATATCTATGTGTACTTAGATACTCTGTGGCTGTGTTGGAAGTTACAGCTTTTGAAGGGCTTCATTGCTGGGAATTAAAAGGATGGCTTTGGAGAGAAATTAGATAAGCTGATCCAAGCACTTGGTGCATCTTTGTGTCAAGCTCTCACTCACTTCACCTTCACTTCATGCATCAGTTATCATGAAGAAGACCAGGTATATTAGAGGGAGGGCAGTGTGCTGTATGACTAATTTCCCAATCACAGTCATAGTGGTAATCAGCAAGGTTGCAATGGAAATGAACATTTTTAGCATGGAGGTTTTCTGACAGGTTTCCATAAAGGCAAGGAATTCCAGGTAAAAGAAAGGTATGTGGCTAGGGCAGAAACTGTCTTTCTCAAGAAAGACAACCTGAAAAAAAAGTTTCTGTGCTACAAAAGTAGAGCAGATTAGTGATCTTGTCAAGATTTCTCTAACTCTACAGAAAGGTGTGTCATGTAATAAATTTGCTCTGAATGAAAGTAGCTCTTGGGGAGAACTTCAGGATCAAGGAAACAAACTAGGGGGTTTATGCAACCATTCAAAAGTTGATGCCCTAAATCACCTTCTCCTGAGAGACACGGCCAATGTAAGCTTGGCTTTGAAACTCAGAGGAGAAGCCTTTGGAGCCAAGAAAGGGAGTACCTTCCTACCTCATCAAGGGCTAACGCTCTCTGTTATGCTTCTTGCCCCTTCCCATCCCCAGGATTTCAAAAACTATTATATGCCATTAAAGTTTTTACTATTCCTCAAAAACAGACTAATTCACCTTATATCCTGGTCATCTCTCAAAATAAACAAACACTCATTTCCTCTATAATTACACCTACACTTTGGATCATGGATCCATTGGTCTGGATATATTCCCAACTGAGGTAGTCTACACAATCCATCTATAGATTCTAGTCTTCACACATCCTTCAGAGAGAATTACCCCCACCCCCAATACGTTAGAGGCTCTCCTCTGTCTTTGTGCTTTGTTTTTAAAAAGCAAAACAAAAGCATGTTGTGGACACCAGTGCAGCATTCAAGCT